AAAAAAAAAAACAAACAACAAAACTACTTTAACTATGGTCTCAGAAATGGACAAACTACTCTGGCTAACCTTTCCAACAAACACCCAGCCTTAGTTGAATGAGCTTTAGTTTAAAGTGCCCTGCCACGATTTTTCAGTGCAGGAATGGAGATACACATGATGCTGGAGTCGGCTAGAGCGCAGTAACTCCCACACTTAAAATCGAGTCTGCTGACACGCTGGAATTACAGAGCAGCTTCCCCTGCATGTGTATAGAAGCCCTAAGAGACTAAGTATAAAATTTTTTTAGCTCTAATAGTTAGTCTGACAACTGAAGACAGGGCTTTAAAATCAAAAGTCAGAGGCAACTGGAATGATAGGCCACCTATAACTCTAGTTTTCTGATTTCTATTCAAAGTATAAATGCCCTAAGTTCTATCCAATTGTGGGACAGTCTCCTGAGGCAAGCAGTGTAAACCTCGTTACAAACGACTTAAAATTGAATACAGATAAATCACTCAAGAATTTACCACAGGAAATGTTCCTGCACTTGCAGTGGGATGAAAAAGCTCACCTTTTTAGGATTCTGTTAAGCGATGCCTCTAAATATGCAGAAAAACCTTAATACAGCACTGATATGTTTAAAAAGATAAATAAACAAGCCCATTACCTGCAAACTTTTCTATTACGTTTTGGAAAGAAAACCCTTCTTTCAACTGAAGATGTCTTGTTACTTACCTTAGGTGCTGCCTTTTTGGGCTTTGGCTCCGGTTTTGGTGGAGCAGGTTTCTGTACCAAAAGGAAATAAACATAAAGTGTCAAATGAGCGCCAGGATCTCAGCATGCTTATTTCTTATGCTAGATTTAAAACGTAAGCAGAGACTTTGAGCCACATGCTCCCCTTTTTGTGGTACAAAAATCTGGCAGACTTAAAACATTTACTGAAAGACTGAATTGTTCAATGTGTTTATTCCACCCAGATGTTTGTTTAAAATAATATATAAAGTACTCTGCATGGTGCAGAGTCCTCTGCACTACTATAATTGTTCATTAAAGGACAGCAAATTTATCTAAGCCTCTTTCAGTCTAGGATGAAGCTTACCCCTGTCATTAGCAGACTGCTTTCTGTATGCATAGGGAGCTTATGTTTTACTATGAGGAGCATTTCTTTGAAACTTAACGCACCTTCAACTTCCTTTCTAACATCAGCTGGACCCAGCCTTTTAAGTGTTGAGGACTCCCAAACATGGAACACTTACAACACTCTGTAAGTGTTCCAAGTTTGGGAGTGCTTTGCCTTTGCTCTGAACCTTCCTGTACACCTTCAGATTGCAAACACACTGTTTGGGGTGTACAGCAGCTCTTGGTTCCCCAGTTTTGTGACTTGTGTGCCTAGGAGCCACTTGTAAAAATGACTGGACTTATTGTGCGAGTAAAGATGGCCAAGTCAGGCTCCTTCTGTATACAAGTGACCAGGAGTCTTTAAACTAGCATAGTGGTTTCATCTTGTGTGCATGAAATGTAGGATCTGTCTCTGTAGTCCACTGATACGCAAGTGTTGGGACCACGTGGTACAAGACTTGTTTCTAAGTATTAAATTATAACCCTATGCAATTATATTATGGCCATCAAAATGTTGCCTGAGAGTACTCACAAAACTTTTTTTTTTTTTGTCACTGGCCTGAATTTTTAATATACAAATGTAATGTGTTTTGCTTTTAGAAAAAGATGATGATACTCACAGCAGATAATCTAGCTGACCTCCTCTTTGGCTGCATAAAAGAAAGATGAATAAATACAATTCAAGAAGCACATGCAGCTATAAATTCTGAATTATAAAATCAGAAATTACAGCTATTACTGAATGAAGCATTAAACAAATGCTAAGAACAACCAGTCATTTCCTCCTGGGTATGTATTTCTTTCACTGCTTGCTCTCCTTCTAAACATACTCTGGGAAAGTAACAAGACCCCAGTACTGTCAGCTGCTGTGCAGTGGGGAATCTTCACTGCTATGACTGGAGCACAGTCTTACAGAAGACTAAGACATGTTTACCCTGAAACTGATGTTCCTCAGCCCTGAAACTGGAAATTCTCGGAGAAGAGGCTGTTTCTGTTTCAGTGTGCTAGTCCAGTAAAGCTCACAGTTGCACAAAGCTTAGCAGCTGGGACACCAGTGAATTCTCCCACCAGTCTTGTGCAACAGCCCCACGCGCTGGACCCCAGCACTGCAGAGGGGCTCTTATGTCATCCTTTTAAGCCCTGAGCCTGCCTCAAACACCTGTCTCAACTCCTGTATGGTACCAAGGGCCCTGCTTAGTGCTTTTGAGAACTTCTGAAAACCGGCTGCATTTTATTAATGACTCAGAAACAAGCCTACCTCCTCCTTTGCCTCGCCTTCAGCTGCAGCCTACAAAAGAAAGGGAAAAAAAAGAGCAAAGAAGGTTTGCAATCTTGCGCTACACTGGAGTAAGGAGGCCAAACGCTGTTGAGAGATGAATGATCTCAGCAGTGACCGGATAAGAGGGGCTGTGAAAAAGGTTCCCAGAATTCATGCTGGGGGAATTATTTTATTCCCCCCCCAGTGTGAGGCGGGAGCAAGTAACCAGCACACAACATGCATGCATCTTTAAAGCCCCTTCCAAAACTTTAGGCAGCTCCTGGCCAGCTTTGGAGGTCAGTCCTGGTTCCACAGTGGAAATGCATCCCCCCTCAGGTTGCAAATCTGCTCCCAGCTCTACCCCTGACTACTGCTCACTCCCTCTGACCCCAGCAACCCTCCTCTAGCCGCTGGAAGCCTGCTCTGTCCCTGCCAGGCCTTCGCGTTACTCCCAGCCCCACGACTACAACTCCCACAATGCCTCGGGACCTCCCCCCTCGGGTGTTCAACGTCATGACGTCACAGCGTCCCAACATTTAAAAAGTTCCCGCCAAATCACCTGCACCTACAAGGTCGCCGCCCGCCCTCGCAAGGACAAGCCCCGAGCGCGGGGGCGCCCCCCCCCCCCCCCCGCCGCGCCTGCGAGCTACGGCCGGGCCCCGCCTCAGCGCGGCACCCTCTGCCCGGCGGGCGCGCGACCGGACTTTGCTGCGCGCCGGGGGCCGCTGAGTGCCCCTACGTCGCCCGCCCTCTCCCGCCCCCCGGCAGCCGCCAGACGCTGGGAGTAGCTCCCGCAGCGGCCCCAGGGAAGGAGCAGCAAAGTTCCTCATGATGGTCGCCGACCGCCCCCCCCGCTCCTCCTCAAGGACAGTTTCAAACTCTGCGCCGCCTAACGGCCCGGGCTCTCACTGCACAGCCATCTGCTCGCCGCCGCGCGGAGCGGGGGGAGGAAGGGAAGGGAAGGGAGGGGGGGGGAGGAAAAAAAAAAAAGGGAGAACAAAGGCAAACGCGGGAGCAAGAGGCACCGCTCGGACCCCGACCGCCCCCGGGGGGTGGGGGAGGGCAGAGCCGCGCCCAGCGCTCCCTCGGGCCGGGCAGCAGGGCCCGGGGCCGC